AATTCCAACCGTGGAAGGGTGTATACCTTCGTAGGGGGTAGATGTCTACTCCTCGGAGGGTAAACAGCTGTTGTCAGAGGATGATGAGAAATACCCTGTCCCCCATACAAAATGTAGATGGGTTATAGACTGTATGATGAGTTATAACTCAAGAAAGGGGGACACAATATATCTTTAAGGTCGCGGTGATTAACCCTCTTTCTACTCATTCTACATGCTACTACCTATTTATAATTGTCCAGGATATTACCGAAAATTACAATAATAATTGTTTTTTTAATTTTAAACTTCTATATAACTCAAAAGGGATTAATGAAGGCGTGAAATAAATTATGTATTTAGACGCTTTACACATATCCTATACATAACTTATGATGTTAAGAATCACATATTATATTTTTTTGGGAGTTTTTTTTTTCATCTGAAATATCTACAACAGATATTATAACTGTTAGTTAGAAAACTCATTCCTTTTCATTAATTCAAATATTATTACCTCAGCTCAGACATTCAATTGACAAAGGGATTTCAAAGCAAGAAATAAAGGAGTATAATTAAAAGTTATTAAATATTAAAACCCTAAACTTGGTATTTTAAAGAACAAGAAATATCTTTGGACTAAGCTGAAGTTTGGGCCAAGTTTTCAGCGAAAATTCCTTCTTTAGAACTGAGCAATACATATTTTTTGAAACTTTGCTTACATTCCTATTGCCATGAGATCCGTTTTATGAAAGATGTTTTCAGGCTTTGGGTTTTTTTCTTTTCAGTTATATCAAAAATATCTTTCGTTCGACTGGTTTATATATTTTTGGGATTTTAATTTTTAATTGTTGTGTTAAATAATAAAATTAACGAAAAATATGAGCTTAAGTAAAACATAAATTAAATTATCAATAGTTTTTAATATGTATTTTATTTAAAATATTTTTTTAAACAATAAATTTTATATTTTGTACAAAGTATAACATAGAATTCATTTTCCTTCTTTATTCAAAAAGTAGTTCGCAGTGACGCATATATTTTCACTGATATTGACACAATGTACGGGATATATTTCTTTTATAGCTGAATTTAATAAGCTAAAGTGAGAAAAGCCGTACTTTTAACACATTTGCTATAAAGCTGTTTCTGTAATTGTAATAAAATTTAAAATTCACTCCACGATTTTTATTTTACTGGGTCTATAAAACTTTTGCAGTTCTGTTGTATAAAGGCTCCGCAACTTCTTGCCAATATAAGTTTACATCATAAGTCTCTTTATTTCATAAAACCTAACGATTCCAAACTGGCATTTGAGCTAGTTATTAATCCCATTTAAAATTCTACTCGTAAAACTAAGTATATTTAATTATTTCAGATACAATACTGTATCTCTTTTATTATTTTATTTGTACATTAAAGGAGATAACATAAATATTATACAAGTCGACATATTTGATAACTCGCCCTGTATAAAGAAGTCTGGAAAACTTCCGACATCAAAATTATTTTCAAGAAAAGTTTAGGAATAGTTACAGAAAGTGATATTAAATCAATGGGTCAGAACTGACAAAAGTATTTTAGATATCAGATTTTAAATCTAATATATGTTTGACTGCAACGCGGAAAAGCTTTAAGGAAAAGGAACTTTGAGTTAAAGCATAAGAGAAAGGAGGAAAAATAATTTCAAAAATTCCCGATCTAAAATGATATGTCTCAACTTTTCAGTTACTTTAAATATATATTACGATAAATATTCTAAGCGACTCAAAGCATGAAATATTTCGGTATGAAAGCTTGCTCTTAAGTGAATAAAAATGCAGTGTTATTGAGATGATAAAAACATAATCCATTTTTGTTTTTATTTAACACAGCAGGATGTATTAAATAATGTAAACGATGACATTACGAGGCAGTTATGTAAATAATTAAAAAAGGAAAATGAAGCAACAGAGCCAGATAAACTCCGAAAAGATTTCAGGATGTTTATTGCAGATAGCATTCAACTCGAAAAAGATTTTCGCCAAAAAATACCAAATAAAGGATGAATTAAAACTCTTATGGTTTAAAATAACATAATGCTCTAAAATAACTTTAGTTTATTAGTTACAAAATATTATTTTAAGTTAGAACATATAATTTTGCAATAAAAAATACACAGTTTTATAGTATAGTATACACGACACACCTCTGTTATTTTTTTGTCAATATATGACTGATCTATTATTGAAAAACTTCAAGATCAAAACCAAGACTACCTTGGTCTTGGTCTTAATCTTGCTGCAAGGCTCTTGCAAGTCTTGCACTTTCTTTAATATATTTTACTAGAGGCACTTTCTATATAAAATATCTAAAAAAAAAATTAAAGCAATTTAGTGCAAATGAAACATTAAAGAAAGAAACAATATTTATTTGTATGATGAGAATTTTTATTTTTCAAGATTATGTAGTAGAACTACACCAACAAATACTGTTCTATTCTCTATAAGTATAAACTTTGGGGCAATGTTAGTCCAAAAAGAAAATAAAGTCCTCCTACTCTGGGTGCCAGGTCACTAAGGGATAGAAGAAGGGTTCTGCTTCCCAAGTGGAAACCAATTTAAAGCGGAACTCAAGAACCTGGAAGACTCAATCCGTAACCTGGAATGAGAATCCTCCAACGGTTTAAGGCTCTCGAAGATTTTTTTTTAGAACTTACGACCGAGAAAATAAAAGATTTTCCTTGATTTAAGTAGGAACAATCTTCGGATTGTCACGTGGTTTATAACAGGATACTGTCTCCTCAACGAACGCGTCACTAGATTGAAGCTAAGAAACAATGGCGATAGCAGAGTCTGTGGGGAAAATGGTGAAACACTAGAATATCTCATGATTGAGAGCGCCGAAACGACAACCATTTGGTACCACTGATATTGGAGATGGAGAAGTACTAGCCTCTGCGAAGTCGTCTCAGATACTGCCTTATAACAAAGCTCTGAGTCTGTATAATCAGTTATAACTCAAGTAAATCTATACTAAATACTAGAAATGGTACTGACATTTATCTATAGAACATTTTATGGTTTAGTTTCATATAATTTAGACTAAAATAGAGTTTATAAAAAACCTAATAGCCACGGAACATATTTTAAAGTTGAAAAACCTCATTAAATTAGGAATTTTTTCGCTTGGTATAAAAATGCAAACGGACTGTACCTTTAATGGTTTCACTGATTTATTTCATTACGAAAGTTTTATAGGAAAGCCGTAGCAAGCCGTTCTCCATAGTCGCATTGTCACCAGAAACGGAATCAGGGCCGGCCTTGTCGCTTTCAAAGTTTCCACCTCGCATTTTAAATATATATTAAGCATTCATGCCACGGTATCGGAAAAGCTTAAAATGTTAACATAAGAACCATTTTGCAGACTCTGATATTTTTTAGCTCCCTTTTGCTATTTAAGAATTGAAGTAATAAGACGAGTGTTTGCTGTTAGCGTTATAACGCTGTGACACTGAATAAACGTGTTATATAGACGATTTTTGATATTTCCTCATTGCCTTAATGGTATTTTCTTTCACATTCTATCAATTTCTAGGCATCAATTGAAAACTAAATGCTCATTAGGTCTAGGTTATAAGTTAAGAAGATTCTTCCCAAACGGCGATTTTCTAACTTTTACAATCAAGTCAAAATATTAACAACTCACAGTGAGGCATGCCAATCTACGATATTTTTAAAATTGAAATAAGTTAATCACATAAAAAAACACAAAATAATGAAAAAATATCAAAGTTTTTTAATATTGTAATTTTGGAAATATTTTTGTTTATTTATTTTCAACATTATTATAAAATATAACTAGATAATTAAAGAAAACCCTAAGACTCATCAAATCGTCAAGTACTTGAAGCAACAAAAAATTGTAATTACTGACAAAATAAAGATAGGATTAGGCAATGAAAGACTTAGTAGTTAATCTCGAGATAAGCACTGAGGAGAGTATTTCAACTAATTAGTGAAAATCTCTCTTCAGAAAAATTAAACAAAAACCAGCAATGTTTTTTTTGGGTTCGCGCTTTACAAGAAAATATTTATTAACAAATTATTTAAGCAAATAATTTATTAAAATTATTTAAGCAAATAATTTATTAAAATTATTTAAGCAAATAATTTATTAAAATTATTTATTAAAATTATTTAAGCAAATAATTTATTATATCGATTAATAAAAAATAAATTTTTAAATAACTTATATCAGTAGTGTAATCTTTTTGATTCATATTGTAATACGATAAACTAGGAAAGTAAAAAGAACACAAGAAATATAACTTTCAACATTGTTCGTACTACCAAATTCGATAAGGTTGTTTTTTCAAAATTCAAAAATTGTAAACAATCCATCCATTCACTTTTAGAGCATAGCAATTTTCAGCAATCGTGTAATTTTTTTATTGATAAAGAGTTTCACATACTGTCTACAAAGAAAATACAGCAGAATAGTAACAAAGTTCTTGAAAAAACTACAATCTATTATTTCTAATAGATTTCGAGATATCGATTTTTGAGTTCTAATAGCGCGACCACTATCGAACACCCACTCAATTCCACTTATTTTTACCAAAAATGCAAGTGTTTCTAGCTTACACTTAAAAAAAATCCAGCTACAGGGAAAATTACAACGACTCGTTAATAAATAAACAAATTAATTATCAGGAGACGTAATTAAATTGTGAAGCTGAACGCATGACGTACACATTTCCCTAGAACTTTAAGTACTAACAGAGGTATTGATTGGGTCGACCGGTCAACTGCGACAAATCTGCTATATCCCCTTCCACGTCTCTTAGCGATGTGCACAGTTTCTCGGTTTATTTCATACGTTTGGCAACGTGTTTACTGTCCTCTCTTTGTTCAGTACGTTATAAACGCATTGTACTCTTCATACATACGGAAATCTCGACCCAAGACTAACCTTTATTAATATATTATTAAACCAATTTTACTTACTTAGTACATCAAACCATTGTAAGCGTGTCTTACCTGGATAATCCATGCCTGAAAATAAAATAAAAATATATGTTTATTTACGCAAATTCTTTACATTTACAGCATTAATTTATATAAACAACAAAAATATTAAAATCGACCACATATTTGAATGCAACAGAATTCAAACCAGTCTATGCAGATGTAATTGAAATTTCGAGTTTTGCAATCGAAACATTGCTTTTCATTTTGTGACTTTTATTTGACATATTTAGTTTCATTAGGATCAATTTTTTTCCAATAACCTATTATTTTCGGAACCCGTTTTAGTAGAAATATCAATTTGCCAGTCATTGACAATTATTTTTTATATCACGCAGCAAATTTTGTTTTTATTTGGATTATGCGAGAAACAATAAGCTATATTGTTGTTATTTTTCGATCACTTGTTAATAAAAATACATCAAAAGCAAAAATTTCTAATTTACAAACAATATTTCAATAAAAATTACTAATTATTTTTTTGTATATCTGTTGTTATTGTTCTAATTTACCGTGTATCCCATAGGTGTTAAGAAATATTAGATCTCCTAGATATAAATTATTTGGGCTTCAAAACTGATTAAGAGCGATTTCGGTTTTTCCAAATTATATTTTCCACAAAATTTTCAATATCTAGCAACGCGAAACTCAATAAACTTCGTACATAGTTTCAGATCCAACCAAAGACGAAATTTTCTTCCATTCAGAATTGATGTTACAATTTTCGATAGCTCTTCGCTACAAACGAAGTGCATTGAAGACATCTCTTTTTGTCAAGTCAGCTTAAAGTAACATCAGTATAAAAGGTCTAGAAATTGCCTTGTAACATATTTCTTTTCAGTTTTTTTATTGATCATTACTTTTATTATTATTCGAAATCAGTTATGTAAAAAATATTTGTATATTTAATATTTGGAAGCCTTTTTGAATAGTACGTCGCAAAAAATTTTCTGCGGAAATGCATTTTTTTTTAATTTTTTAACTTTAGAATAGCTGAAACAATTTACATGAAAACGCGTTTCAGTTTTTCATTGTAGAAATTTTTCTAAACATAGATACGCAAGAAACTTCTTGCTGAACTGTAACATTTTCATTTATTGATAAAATATTGTAAAATATAGCAAGATTTGGAAAGCACTGGGCAATTGGAATTCGTAGACAAGCGCGTTTTAGCTTACAACGTGTTTTTGATTGCTTTGGTTTGTTCTTGATTGCTTATGATGCTTATTCTGATTATTCAAAAAAACAATGGGAGCCTTTTAATCATTCCTGGTTAATGTTTAGTGCCTTCAATACAAATAAGTGATTTTTTTTCTGCAAGAAGTTAATTAAGAAAATCTATAAATAATCTTGAATCCATAGTAACTATTACAGTTGAGGGTTGGAACCTTTGGTGTTACACAGCAAAATAAAAACACTAAATCACCACAATACACCAAAACACTTTTACTTTTACACTGGACGCGCGTTTCGCTAACCATGTTAGCATCATCAGCAGATGATTATAAACTAAAGTACAATCTACAAGTTGAGCGTTTATATACTCGCTCAGTGGGCACCAGTGGGCGTGGCAAAATCTAGCCAACCGAGTCAGAGCTGAAAACTGAGCGTAACAGTTAGATTTCCGCCACTAGAGTAGTAGGAACAAAAAACTTGAAGGAATTGGACCGTTGACTCTGTTCATACTATCATTTACATTTATTAATTCTGATGCTTTCATAGTGCATCTAATTGACTGTAATTTGAGACTTGTTTAATTAATTTTAAATTATTAAGACCTATACAATGTTCATAATCAACAATATGTTCGGCAAAGATTTATCCTCGGTCTACCATATCTTATCTTGAGCTAAATGTTCTTTAAATCTAGTTTAATATTGATCTTCTGTATTTGCCCAACATATTTCTGATTACAATCTTTACAAGAAATTTCATAAATACCCGACCTTCCCAGTGGAGGTGTTTTATCTTTTGGATTACCTAATAATTGTTGGTAATTTCAAATTAGCACTATACACAAGTTTATAATTGACATTCTTAAAATTCCTTTTAGACCACGGGATAACTCTTAAATCAAACGGTATCGAAAAATCGTTTAGATTTATCTTTCTGCACCTTTAAAAGTCAATTTTCAAGAAATCAGATTAACCTATACCGGACGTTTCTAATTAATTTAACGCAACTAGTGATAAGGAACATTGATATCTGATACATTCAAATACGATTCTAATGCAGGATATATTTCTATTTCATATCTTTCGTTGGCTCAAGTAGGAAACTATTTAATCTTATGAACTAAGAAATTTAAACTAGCCATTTTATGTTCAACACTATGATGTGATTCATTAGGAATATATCTGCGTGTGGTCGTATTTTTCCTATAGATATCAAATTCCAGGCGATTTATTAGTGTTTCTAATAACTAATACATCTAGAAACAATTAATGCTGTTGCTCCTCGAATTTCCATGCGTAAATTTGATGAGAGAAAACGATTGTTTTCAAGTTCTTTGTTAAAACTACTCTAGTGAAATCCCTGTCTGCATGCTGTTGGCTCTGACTCAGTTGGCTAGATTTTGCCACGCCTACTCCATGCCCACTGAGCGAGTATATAAACGCTCAACTTGTAGATTGTACTTTAGTTTATAATCATCTGCTAATGATGGTAACATGGTTAGCGAAACGCGCGTCCAGTGTAAAAGTAAAAGTGTTTTGGTGTATTGTGGTGATTTAGTGTTTTTATTTTGCTCCATAGTAACTGTATGATTTATCTAAAAGAGATAAATTAGTTTAGTTAAACTTTTAATACAGTGATTTCAATAAACGAACCTATCGAATTCCTGAAATAATTAAAAGATAACAAGACAAACAAAAAGGAAAATTTAATGCATTTTGCATTTAAAATGATTTACCAAGAACTTTAAAATTTTAAATAGTTTTTAATCGGGTTTTCAGTTCAGGTCTAAATGCGGCACAACAACATTTAATAGCTGAGAAAGAGAGAAAAGTTTTATTAAAACCGTTATTTAATAGGAAAGTTTTATGTTTGCCAGTTTTAAAAATTTTAATAGATTATTACGTTATTCTATTTTAAATAAATGAATATAGAAACTTTGTAATAATCTTATTACCAGACTATTAAATCAAAAGTTGTTACTTTAAAGCGTATGAAGTCGGGAAAGGAAGCAGTATAGGCAATATATTCTTAAAAATTCCTGAGACAGCTGAATTTATAAAATATTTTGTGTTGTTGTTTTCTTTTTTCTATGATCTCGTAAAATATTCAATTGTCTTTATAATGATCATCAAAAATAGATCGTGAACTATAAATCACTACCAGAAATGGCAGCAAAATGGCTGCCACCCACGTTCCTAACCTCCAACGTAAGCCGATTTTTGGCTGAGGCAGGTAATTAGTTAAGAATATCAGTTTAATATACGTTTGAAACTTGCGTACCGTGTATTAATAGATTTACATTTAAGTCTATTGAGGCAGAAGCTCATTTTGTGGAGCACGATCTATCGCAAAATGCAACATTTAATACTTACTGACAGGTCCTGCTCTATAGCTCATACTAAAAGGGGATCTAATCTTTAATAAAAATATGAATTCTCTTATTTATAGCTTTCTGATATAATACCAGGTGCGTCTCAAAAGTACCTCACCACTATAACTTTTTTATTTTTTTAGGTAAAAAACGAGATTTGGGATGTTAGTATATGACATAAATTAGAATTGATTGACGTATTCAATTGTTTTCGGTCACTTCCTGTTTCACCGGAAATGACTACAACTTTTGATTTTTAAATGCCACCTTCGGTATTTTTTTATTTTATTCGATATAAAATAACACTCTGAATAGGATGACATACCATATGTCAACTTTTGACATTTTGCATATAGTTTATTTGAAATTATAACATGCGGTTTACACCGAAAATTTTACTCGAAATACCAAGTGTGTGGTATCAAATTATTCGAAAAAAAAAACGAGGGTGGCTCATTAGCATATTTCCAAATATGGTAAAGAGCCATCCTCGTTCCATTTGAAAAAATTGAGATATGATTAAAAATGCAATTTGGGCACATTTTAATCAGCGAGGACAAGACACTAAAAACATTAGACGATCAAATCTATTTTTCCAATGCCCCTTGATCAAAAATTAGTGTTTTTAATATAGCCATGGCACTCTAGAATGACATTTAAAATAGGATTTTTTATTAAGCGAGAATGTCAAAGGTGACATATGATATGTCATTCTAATCAGAGTAATCAGAATATCATTTTTTATCGAATAAAGTAAAAAAATACCGAGGGTGTCATTTAAAAATCATAAGATATAGTCATTTCGGGTGAAACAGGAAGTGACCAAAACAATTGAATACGCTAATTAATCCTAATTTGTCATATACTAAAATACAAACTCTCGTTTTTTTTTCCTGAAAAAATTAAAAAAAAGTTATAGGGGTGAGCCACTTTTGAGACGCACCCGGTATAATCTTGTACAAGTAGCTATCATTTTGTGCATTTATTTATTAGTTTATTGAAGAAAGATTGATATATATTTCTAAATAACAATAAATAATATTTTGAATTTGGTACAATAAAATATTCTATGACGAAATATGCATTATCTTTTTTAATAATACCGTGATAACATAACAAATCTTAAGTAAGTGTTAAACTATGCAAATATACACTCCCTATACTGCATCCTCAATGGTCGCTTCTGGGACGTTCAATCTTAGAAAAATCACTTTAACTTTAAAAAACTCTCGTAACAATTCCTTATTTCACAGGCGAACAACTTACAACTTTTATAAAGACCGACTGACTAATCTACTTAAACTTGGAAACATTAACATTTTTTTTGTGTGTTGTATTACACGGAAAAGAAACTTTAGCGACCCGTAAAAACGTATGTCTTCTTTCTAAATTACGAAAATAAATTCTAAAATGGCTTATTTTAAGCAGCTTGTAATAAGATTTGAACCAACTAAAACGTATTTTAATTTTACAGAGAAAA